CTCTTTCCCATTTGTTTCACTCACACCTGGTGTGGAGTGTAATCATGCTAAATCTTTGTGTATATAAGCAAGCAAGCAGACCACAGAGAGAGGAGCAAGGAAAACACAGCATTTATGTGATATAATAATCTGAGAAATGCAATTTGTTCCAACTATGAGGATACTCCATTACCACACTTTTGTAACTGTTTCCATAGTATTTTGCAAAACAGGGCTATTAACTAGAGACCCCATACCAAGTCCCTGCTACTCAAATTTGCTTGAGGAGAGCTCTCCAAGTTCCCTGCCTGAATCCTCTACCTTTCCCAAGTGAGGTCGGTAACCTCATGATGACCACTCACAGTAAGATATTTCCAAATGGCAACTTGACCTAATAAGAATCCACAACCAAATTCCTTTGACATGATGTCACCCTTACACTGCTACTGTGTTTAAAGAAGCTTCTATAAAAATGATAAAACTTATAAAAGTTCTGAGCATGTTCAAATGACAGTCAATGGCAAACCAAAGTAATATAATCACATGAGAATCACATGAGAAATTTATTCTACCTTATACATCTTTAATATGATTTATCCATCAAGGCTAATTACAGAGCATCTACTAGGGGCGATAGCAGAGGGCAAAAAGTAAAAGTCCTGATCAAATATTTTGCCCCCATTTATAAATTTTGGACCCAGTTCACATACATGTTTAACATCACTCGTTTCAGTCCCACTGACGTTCATGAGCCCACTCATGGATTAAAAATTAAGCATCCACAAGTCTTGCTCTGTAAGCCGCTGAGGCAACACACAAACCTAAGGTGATATATTTTCAGTAACAACTTTTCTGAGATAATTACTCCTGTTACGAAGAAAAGCACTTTAAAGAACATAGAGAAAAACATGGCACATAATTTTGTATCCCCTGAAGATCAGTTTAAAATACTTTTCCAATTAATAGAATAATTTTTTTTAACAAAAACAGAACTGACAGGATTCTGACTGTTTTTCTGGGTGGCTCACCAGAATTGACCTAGCAAAATAGCAATCTTTAGAATATGATTTACTGTGTACTTGTTGTGAACTGGTTTCTACAGATATTAATATAGCTGCTTTCTTCTTTCTGAGTGCTTGGCCCTTAAATCAACTCCTCTTTTGGGTCCCAGTGATATTTCCAACTTGCATGGGCATTTGTCTCATTTTCAGAAGGCAAGTTCCCTGCAGTCACGACACTGATAAACCGGGATGAGGTACTGCCAAATGCCATTCAGGAGCGAGAGTGGGACAACACGCAAGGCGATGCTGTTCTGCACCATCACACCAGGACAACGACAAATAATGAAACAAGCATACCTTGTTCTCAAAGTTTTGTAAAAAACTAAATGGAAGAGTGAGGGCTTCTCTAGCGGGCACCTGTCTGGCTACCCAATGCTTGCATAGGTATAAAACACCACACATGGGCAGCCTGTGTTTGCCTACAGCCCTCTTGCAGAATATCTCCACCTCAGTCCCCAAACTGTGTAAACATTTCTTTCAATCTGCATGGACACATAGGCATGGGGAGAGGAGCTGGGAGCCACTGGCATCTTTGTACTGGTTGCAGCACAGCTGTAAATTCCCACACAGTGATGAGTTCTCCTGTTAGATGAAGCCTGTTTCCCTTTCATGGATGGCCTCAGCTTAAAAATGATGAATTGAGGATGAGAGAATTAGGATGCTTTCAGTCACTGTGCTTGCTAGTTGTGGGATCCAAGTTTACTCCTGTCTCAATTCCACCCCCTCCACAAGAATACAGATATGATTGATGAAACCTTGGAAACAGAGCCTTCCTACAAACCCAAGCATGTTTTTAAGTGCATTAAACAGTTTGAACGTATGCACCAAAAATCTTCCTGCTTTGTACTACACCATTTTCATTGCCATTTTGTTCTTCAATGCAACAAATGTACAGCCCGAAGGAAAAAGAAATTCTTAGCAAAACTCTGCCTTGAGAAAAGACATAAAGATTATCTTGAGAACTTTCCTTGTGCCCACTCTGCCCTGGCAAAGACATTATTACCAAAACATATCAAAAATTACTTTTATCTTCATAAATCCAGGGCTACAAACATTTCATACACAGTAACATTAGAGCTGCAAAACTGAGGTGAGCAGGGAGATACCAAGCAATGCTGCTTCCTGCTGCCACCATATCATCTCCACTGGTTCACCTAGATGAAAAACTGGTTTAAAGCAAATTTCAGTCATCAGACCAGAAAGACTACACCTAAACACTCAGGCTGTAGAGGCATTGTGGCAGGTGGCCCTGATCCAGCACAAGCCCTTGACCTGGTTGTGGGAGGAGTAATTCTCAAAGGGAGGAAGTGGAAAAACCAAAGCGTCCTTTAACTCCTAAGGCTACTGCGGGGATAAAGCCTCTTCTCTCCTGCTGCTTGAAACCCTGCTGTCAGATTCCTGAAAAGGGGCAGCACACAGAGGGGAGACTCAACAGCAGGGAAAGACGACCAGGCTGTATTTGTGCATGAAGAACTCAAAGACTAGGGGATGTCTCCCCACACCCTCCACAACTGAAAAAAAGGCAAAAGCGAAACAAGGATCCTGATATTTCCAGAAGGGTGACGAAATCCCCATTCTATGGGCTGTTGAATAATTCATAAATCTCCACCAATAGCCCATATCTACTTATTATGAAACCAAATCTGGCTGACTGCAAAGAAGTCAGGAGTCAGTCAGGGTCTTTGACATAATCCAGCTGCTAAGGTTGTTTTTGAAGGTTTTCTTTATTAAAAAAAAAAAATCTTGTAGTCAGGCAGAAGGACACAGCATGCAGGACTGCTTTTTGGCTGGCACATAGCCGGGCTTCTAGCTATTTGGCAGCTCAAATGGTAAATTAACACGTTTCTAGCAAAATGAGTTTATTACAAATAATTTGGTAGGTGTCATCCAATTGATGCAGCACTTCTTAAGATTTGGAAAAACTTTGAATAAATCACAGAAAGAATATAATTTTTGCAAAGAAATAAATGCAATTCAACTCCAATTCTCTCTGAAGAAGCTTGATTCTCAACCTACTTCTCTTCCTTTTTGATTCTGTCTTTTTATTCAAAATTTCAAAAGCAAGCCCTACTCTTATTTATCAAGCTTTTTGCCTTAAAGATTGCAACTGATGTTGCCAGGGCTTCCATCTATCTCACTATAATGTGTTGCATCCTGGCTGCTAACCTTCAGAACACCATGCCATTCATTTCAGCTGTTGATGGGATTGCTTTCTAGAAGTAGACAATGAAAGTCACTGCTGAGCACAGCACTAAGTCTCATGTGAACATGCTGTCCCCCTTAACCTTTCCGCTGGTCCAGACAGTAAAAGGGCACCTTCAGGTAATTTGAAGCAGTACAGCATATTACCCCCAGCCATGGAAGGGTGGTAAGTCATGACATTTTCTCTCAACCTGATTACTTGCAAACAGCCATGGTTTGGTTTCAGACTCACTATTTTAGCAACAAAATTATGAAGATGGGATCAACAATCACCTTCAGCTCAGCTTCCTGGCTACCGCAAAGACAAGCACCAAAGAACACAGGAGAAGAGAAAAACAAACTTAGAAGATTTCACGTTTTACCTCATCTTGCTGTGAATTTAGTAGCTGCAGCTTCATGTGTTTCATATAAGCCATAGTAATTGGCATGTTGTAATCAATCATACTGGTCACCAAAGTTGGAGGTTTTCCATTATCTGCAATAAAAATATTTATTATGCATTATATGTTAATTGTGGAGGCTACTTGAGCCTACTCTGCAGTCAAAGTCAGACAGTTATGTCATTTAGTTCTAACTTTGGCATTGTCAATTGCTTGTAGGCTGTACAGATGGAAGCCTCCCAAAGAAAATTAAAATCAAGTTCAAACCCTGAAAAGTGATGAGTTCTCCTACCCTAAATGACTACAGCACGTGCACCCTATCTATTCCTTATGTATAAGCCCCCACATAAACATTTCCATAGCAAAATAAATTATTTCCTCCAGATAAAATCATCTTTCTATTGAGGGTACATATGGTATTACACTCCATCCTTAAGCAAAGGCAGAAGATTCACTGCCTTCCAGCCTAAGTAAGATGATCTGACTTATTGAACTGTTCCAGTCTACCAAATTTTTATGAACCCTCACTTAAGCTAGGAAAATATAAATGGGTATTAGGAATAAAATGACTTTACATCCCACTATTTGACACTAAAACTACCTTTATGATCTGCTCCATCTGGGTTTAAATGCATTCTTTTCTGGCACTCTGAGCAGCTCATTAGAAATCGTGTCACCGCTTCTCTCGGTAGGAAGGCATAGGTCTCTGAAATCTGAAATGAATAACAAAATAAAGGTGTTATTATATAAGCTGATTGAACATGATTTAACAGAACTGATCATTATATTTCCAAATAAGGCGTATTATCTTGTAATGCCAGGAAGGACAATGAAAGCATGTTCTGCATACTATGTAGGATTTCAAGAAACATCTATCCAATCTGCTTACTTATCATCTAATGGCTAATAATAGTTGATACTGAAAAAAATTTCACTTATATCAAAAGGGGTTTCATTTTCTGTTTGCAGTTTTTTTCAGTTTCCTTTCAGCAAAAAGATCCATACATAACAGGCATCCCACTGAGGGATGTTTTTAGAAAAGGTTGAAGAGTAACCTTTTTCTTATAACCAATACCAAAAAAAGAATAGTGCTTGGCTTATGTGCTCTATTTATTTTTATTGTAACAATACGTGGACAGATACAGGACTCAGTGCATTACCAACGATGACGGTCTCCTCGCTATTTTAACGTTGTATTTGAATGTTTTGAGAAAATATTCTTGGAAAGCTTGCGATTTAATACTGTAATAATGTAGGGTAAATAAGTTACTTTTATTAACAGTTACAGAATTTAGGAGTCACTTGATTTTAGAGACTCTGGAGATACCTTGACACAACAGATTTTGGTTGTTTCCGCCTTTCAACATTATCATTCTTCCCAACCACATATTCGCAAGGAAGCGTCAGAGGGATTTTGTTTCTTTTTTGAAAGGGGAGATAAGGAAGCAGTTATTGCTGGTTTTAAAGACTGCATTCCCCCTCCCCTCCCCAAGGATGCATCTGTCTTTATAGACATTTTTGCCTTGCTGAAAAGGACCCGGAGATGACGGTTGGTGCCAAGCTGAAAATGAGCCAACAGCGCACTCTCTGATCACAGATAAAGCAAACTTCATACCGGCTCCATCAAGTGTACGGCCAGCAGATTAAGAAAAGTTATTACCCCTCTCTACTCAGTGCTGGTAAGACAACAGCTGGAATAATGTGGCTGGCTTTCCCCTCCACAGTTCAAGAAGGCTGCTGAGAAGCAGGAGAGGTCTCTGTGGCAGATCACCATGGCAGCTGGAGCCTCAACCAGGCAACCTGAAGGAGCAGTTAAGGGAGCTGGATTTGTTTCATGTGACAAAGAGTAGGTTACGAAGCAGGGACAGATCTGACTGCAGCCCACCACTGCCTGAAGGGGAGTTACAAAAACTGTGGAGAGAAACTCTTCAGAGGGTTATAACCAGGGACAACAGCCACCAACTGCGGGTCGGGACATTCAAACTCGACATCAGGAGAAACTTCTCTAGGAGGCCAGTGCACTGGAGCAGGTTTACCAGATGAGTGGAAGAATCTCCAGACTTGGATGTTGTCAAGACATTACCAGGCAAAGCCATGGCTTTTCTGTGATTCATTATGTAAGTTTATGTATATACACACTGCAAGTGTTGTAAGGAATCTCTAACCCTTCTTTTCTCAAGCAAGGTGGTTGTCTTGCAATGGAGATAATCCCCAAAGAAAGACAAAGTCCCAGCAAAAGAGACTAAAAGAAAAGTCAACTGATACCTGCTTGTATTCCCTTATTGTAAAACCTACAGCAGGATTTGATTTCCTATCAAGCGTTGATGCAAGTCTCTGTAGGAAGTGCAGAAAGATGGAGGTGGGGTGTATGAAAGTGTGGATACAGAAAGGACAAGATACCTTTCTTTAACTGGATGTAAATGGGATTAAATACTGTGCAAATCACTCGTGCTCCTCACAAGGATCCTAAAAGGAGGAGGAATGGCCTGTCATAACTCCCTTTCTTACACTCTTCTCCTTCGCTTGTCACCTACCTACCCTGTGTTGAAACTTACGTTTCCTAAAACTCCATGGACCAAATTTATCAGTCACAGTTTTTCAGAAAATAGGTGGACTTTAAGTTACTGTTTGTTGATGTGACATGAGTCATGGAAATACACAGGAAATGGTGCATTGTAAAATAACAACGCAAATTATATCATCCTGTTTATGGTATTGTTGTTTAGGCTGTTTATTGTTGTTTTCTTATATAACAGAAATCTTATTTTGTGGGGGAGAAGGGGATTAGTATAAAAGCAAAATTTGTTCTGTGATGAAAATTGGCAAAGATTTTCTCTGGGCCTGAAACAATTTATCTGAAAATGAAGGCACTAAATGAAGCCACTTTTGAATGGGAGTTCCTACCAAAAAAATATTTTCAGATTATTTTTCCTGTTTTTTGTACCACAGAACAGATGCTTATTTACCTTTCTAAATATGAAAACATTGGTTATACTCATGCTTTATGGAATCTAAAAAAAGAACTTAAAATCAGTTAGAATTTAGCATTAAGAAAATTGGTAAGTGCACATATGCAGCAACCTCTCTCTCTCTCATAACATTTAACACATTTAGCACTGTATTGAAATTAATGGAGCTTACCCATGGATTCATTAGTTGCCTGCATTTGATAGGAATGTTCCATTTGTTCTAATCAAGCATCTCTGTCAAAATTCCAGTTCTGCTCAAACAAGATGAAAGTCCTCCATGGTAAGCAAGTGAGCTGGGTCCCACATTTGATAGGCATGCTCCACTGACTATAAGGGAACCGGGTTTTATAACTAAATTTGTCCACATAGCAGATGCTTGTGTCTCCAGCCTCCCACTGCAACACAGTTTTAAGGATGCCCTTCCCTAAATAACACCAGTTTCCACCAACTTCCTCCCCAGTTTACTTTGTAATTTGATTCAATCTTCTACAGTCCAAGACTTTAGGCTGTATAAATGGGCATAACACAATGGGTATCATGTTAAAAGAGATATGTAGAGGACATGATAACCCACAGCTTTCCTTACTCTTGCTCCTTGAATATACACAAAAAGCTCTTTCCAATCTTGTGTCAGAAAGCCTACAAAAAAACCCCCAAACCTCATGCCCCCAACAGTGCAGACTCCTGTTTGCCATTCTCATTAAAGAGGGGCACATCTGCTTCATAAGATGCAGATAGCCACTCGCTCACTTTGGCCGTGCTCCGAACCCACTGGCTTAGCACCAGCTGTAGCCAGGAAGCTCTCTAACCAAATTAGCACAAGGCTGAACACAATAACCTGTATCTCACCCCTCAGCAGACCTTACTAGCTCGTACGCAAGGTTGGGCTGATATAGTACACGGAGCTGGCTTGCGTGTGAGTATTTCAGAGCACAACCTGGAGGCCTATGACACTTTCTAAGTAACTGTACAGAAATTCCTTGGACAGTGGTCTGACTTCATCAGGAAAATTTGTTTCTGTCCTCTTATTCTATCTGAAAGAAAGCAATAATGACTCAGTCCTCACTGATGGTGTATATTCTCACTGCCCTGCTCCTAGCTCTCTTCTCAAGGCCATGAGCTAACAAAAAATATAGCCAGACCATCTCATGCAGTTATGTGCTGCAATAAAAGAATATTGTTTTATTTCAATCCCACACAAAAAAAACCCAAACCACACATTTCTACATTTTAAGAAAAAATATAGCCAGAAAAGTGAATTGAAGAGGGGGATATTGTGTTATTTACATCCACACACTGACAATGCAGACTGGCATATTTTTGGAATGACTTACAAGAAACCGCTCATGCACTTGCCTATACCAATCAAAGAACAATCACTGCTGATTTACCGTATTGATAAAATAAAAAAAAAAATTATAAGTATACTTTTTTCAAATATGATGCTTTAGAAGTATCCTTACGTGATTACTTATTCTTACTAGTGGTTTTATTGTGCATTAGTATATCTTCTGTTGCTTGAAGAAATGTGTTATCTTATATCTGGATGTACTCCATATCATGGACAAATGACAAAATAACCAGATTCTAGCAGATTGGTGTTTAGGTAGTGTATACTAGGTATAGCTCTTACAGCTGAATGCTTTTTACATTGTAAAGGGAAAAAAAATATATGAAGAAGAAACTAGACATCTGGAGCATTAAGCAAAGAGTGCCAAAATCATACAGGGTTCGTTTTAGCCCCAGAAGTCACAGGATAAGAAGCAGAGCATTTCCTAACAATACAGTCCACGTGCACCTACACATATTTCATTTAAACTTTGAACTCAAGAGGAAAACAAAAACAGAGTTGACTTCAGCGGTTTCAGAGTCAAAACTTCTATGATCTTATTTCACCATTCACAAAAAGTGTACAATATAATAGAATTTGACATATATCAACCCATCCAAAACATCTCCCAACAATGAAGGCATTCTAGATCTAGAATTAACCTATATGCTGTTTACTGGATCCCGTGAAGCGCACAACTACTATAAGGCAAGTAATCCAGTACCTGAGCATGTAATCTGATTTACACTGGAGCTAAGTGATGTGCGCCCTAATTGTCTGTGAGAAGCGTATTGCATTCCTATTGCATCACTGCAAGCAGAGAAAATGGGTAAAGTCTCCTTTATGCTCTCCAATATTCAGATGATTTAAGTGCAGGATGTTGTGATGATGTAGCTTTCAGAGCTACATTTTTATTTGGAAAATTAACAAGCTCTAAACTGAAAGGCAGATTTTAGGACACATATGGCAGAGCAGGAAAGACAAGTGTGAGGAGAGGGAGGGAAATTTTGCAAGTGAACCTGTTAACCCCTAAAGCATTAACATGGAGGATGTATGTGTAGTCTGGAAGATACAATGTGTCAGAATAGAGATATTTTTTTGTTGTGTGTGTATATTTTTTTAATTAAGGAGGATAAGGGAAGGAAGATGATCCAAAGAAGACTTCCAAGAGGAGAGAGAGAGACAGGGAGAGAGAGTGAAGATGGTAATCTGTCCTGGGCCCACAGCCATCAAACCAGGTGGCAGAAATTGGTTTCTTGATGACAGGAGGACAAACCAGCCAAGGAAAGTCCTCTCCTTTCCCCAGCAAGAGGTCAGAATAGAAGGCTGACATAGGAAAGCAGATATATTACTGCTGGGAGTTTTATCAAGAGCTCACTAACCTGCTATACTGGGGAAAATGCTGTTGCCTCTT